CAGCAGCACTGCATTGAAAAATTGATGGGTTTTTTATAGAAATAAACCCAAACTTAGCCATTCTAAGAGAAAGCCATTTTCCCAAGAAATCTTTGATAACTTAATACACTCCCACTGCATGCCTCAAACAGGTGGTCTGAAGTCTGGATTTTGGTATTACCTAGTTTGTGAGCAATTGGTGAATAAGGATCCCAAAAGATTTCTTGCTGTACATCGGTGTCATTGATAGGAGAGCTGAAAGTAGGGATTCGGGATTTCCTGCTCAACGACCTCTTTGGTGTTTTATGTAAATATGACTCTGTGTAAGCAGAAAGAGGATCCTTATCAAAAACCAAGAAATAAAAGGCTGAAATAACTTAGAACATACAACAGGTCAAGGCGTAAGATGCTGCTTTAGGAAGTTTAAGAATAAAAATCCAATTTGATACTCGTCAGCATTCCTGTACTCACAACAGGAATATTGTTCACAACTAGACTTTTAGTGCAGAATAGGACTTTAACCTTTGTCAGTTATGTCATCACAGAGATAACAGAACTACATGATCCTGAAAGCTACAGTCTCATCTGATGGTAACGATGAGAACTGTCAACCCTCCTACTTGAGGGAATATTGACTTCAGCTCACATTAAAACTACGTACATGTGTATGAAAATATTGTGTATTCTTCATGTCTTTCTGTCTCTCACCCTGACTCTGATTTGAGCTACAACTTTAATGGGCCTCCAAACTGTTCTGGATCAAACCTACCTTTGTCTACACTTTCTCTCCTGGGCTTTTCCAGCTAGGGCTATGCAAAACCTGCATGCACCTGCCTCTGGTCAGTAAGTGAACTAAACACAATATGTGAAGCTCAGCTAGCCACCCCCACCCTTCATAAGTGATGTTGCAGGTGTGGAAGCCTAAAGGAACAACCTAAAAGATGCAATCACTACATGAGAAGCACCTTAGATGTTTTGCACTTAACTGCCCAGCACAGCCAGGCTTTTATCCTCTCAGCCAGTGGATCAGCGTCCTCGGTTAGTTCTCAGGACCTGCCGCGGGAAGAGGCTCTTCATCACCCCTTGACAGGAAGAGCCTCTTGCCGGGACACACGGACGGGGGTCGCGGGGGTCACACCGCACCGGCCCCTCCTCACGGGCAGGCCGCGGCTGCCCCGCGGTTC